CCTGTACCTCAGATTGTAGAACCTTTGTCAGTGTCAGCCATGTGGATGAGTCATGGCCATTGCTTGGCCAATGTGCTCTCTGTGAAAGCCTGAGAGATAAGCAGGCACTTTAGACCACTGAGCTATCTCACTGATCCCTATCAATTCACATGTTGATGGACTATGAACCACTATTCTTTCATAATTTTTGCCCATTTCAGTATCCATAACTTGGCCTGTCAGTCCTTTAACCATCTCATTTCTCCTACAACAATCTTGTCCTCCGTATTTCCACTGTTACTCACTTCTACAGACCTTGTTATTATGAATGTTAATGTTTCCATAATCTTAATTACCACACTCAGATTTCTCCTTCCTATATTTCAGCCTTTTCCCTCTGACATCTCAACAAGGATAATCCTTTGACCCTACCAGAACCTCCAAGTCATTAATTTAACTACATTGTCATTCCCCACATTGTCTCATTGCCTACCACAACTATTAATAATAACTAGTCCTGGAAAATGCCCTCTACTTCCTTGCTCTGTCACTTAATTGTACTCCTATGATTAAACGATAGCCATCTCTCAGCTTATTCTATGCCTGTGCTTTGCAGAGCTACAGAAACCATACCAGCTATGCTAGTCTATTGATTGATTCATTCATTCATTTCTGACAAAGAAACCTGGACCTCTGCACATGGTAGGCAAATGTACCACTTACCTGTATCTTCAGCTCTAACGAAAATTCCTGATTACTAATCTCAAATAGGCCAAAATGCTACTTAGATGATAAATTTTACTAGAACATTCACTTCCTTACTCTTCTATATAACCATTTAATAAGCTCCCCCTCTTTAAATCTTCAATACCACCTCCTGTGTCCTTATTCTCATATTACCTTGAGCTGTGTCACTAAAGTCATTTGAAAAGAATTTCTATAAACTCCCACCACAACATCTATAATCTATCTGCATTTGTGCCTAACTTTTCTACTTTGCCCCTATTACTGTAAATGTACAACTCATTTTCTGAGCAAAGGCAAACCTCTCAGATCCTCTTACCTACTTAAGTGCTGTTTTATCAATTCCCTCCTCTTTATCATCAATTTCTCTTTCTACTGAATTTTTAACATCAGCCTAGGGATGTATGCCCACTATATTAGTCATTTATTAGTCATTTCTGTCATCTCATAAAGTCTAAAAATGTAGTTTTTAGAGATTTCTGCCCATGTCTCCTTGGCAGAGTTGTTCGGGGGCTTGGGAAATCCTGTGATGGTACAAGACACAGTGGTAGGACTGCAGGGGAGAGAACTGTTCACTTCACGGCAGACACAATGTAAACAGATAAACTGGAAGATGCTGGAGTACTAATGTCCCTTTCAAAGATAGTATCTCTGCTGACCTAAGATCTCCTAGTGGGCCCTACTTCCAGCAGGTTCCACCACATCTCACAATCACCACTAAATATGGCAACATTCAAGATCCAAATTACAGTGACTACTTTTCTAAAACCTCGTCAGCCACACTTTTTCCTTCACTTACCATTCATTTCTCTCCTACCATTACAGTCAAATTATTTGAACTGTTGGTGCTATTATTCCCTCCATCCTCCATTCCTGTACCAAAGAATGACACTATGTGACTTATGTATCAACAGGTTCTCTTTGGCTACTTTGAGAATAGACTAAAAGAGGGCAAGAATGGAAGTAGAGAGACAAATTAGGAGAATATAGCAGTAACTGACATGAGAAATGATGGGTCAGTACAGAATAGTGGTGGTAGGAAAAAGTAGTCTGAGTTTAGATAAATTTTGAAGATGGGATAAAAACCTCCCCATCCTAAAAGAAGATCTTTAGCTTGAGCAACAGAAGGAAAATATAAAAGTTAGTGGTTGATTATCCTGTTTCTATCCTTGTGCCATTTCTTTGATGTTCATTAGCTGCTGTGATCCCAATAAAAGAAGAGTCAAATCATGTCACTTCTCTGCTTCCACACTTCCAATGGCTCATTTAACTCAATTCGAAATACATTTGCATTTGAGATGTGCACAACCAAATGAAGATATTGAGTATGCAGATATAAAAGTCAAGCACAATAGGTACTTATTGGTATACAGCTAGCAACTTAAGCCAGGAGTCAAAATGAGATCACTAGACTAGTGCAAGCAGACAGAGGAAGAGTACCAAGATTAAAAACCCCATGTTAACATAAGCCAATGATTAACATGTCCCTAGTAAATTTAGTTGAATGCATTAATACTGTTTAGGCACTGAAGAGAATAAAGAGAATGGGTTGTATTTGTATATAGTGAATAGTATATCAGGAAGAATGAACAGAAAGCACAATACGACACATTAAAAATGTATTCAATTCAGCCAGGTGTAGTAGTGCATTCCTGTAATCATAGCACTTTGGGAGGCTGAGGCAGGAGAATCACAAGTTCAAGCCCAGTCTGGGAAATTAATGATTTAGCAATATCCTGTCTCAGAAAATAAAAAAAAATAAGCAGCGTTAAGGATATAACTCTGTGTGAAGGACCTGGGTTCAATTTCCAGTACTTCCCACTCCCAATTCAATTCACTATAAGGAAATCAATATGAACAGATTGAATGTTCCACAGGGTGAGAGACATTAGATGATATCAAGAGATCAGGTATGCAGTGACCAGATTATGTAGGGCCTTGCAAGCCATTCTTTTATCCTGAATCAGACAGGAATCCAAATGGAGAGTTTTGAGAAGTGTTTTGATTGACAGAAACAAATTTCAGCAAAAGAAAGATGTCTATTCTGAAAAGCCAAAGGTATTTCAGGAAAGAGAAAAACACCTACTCACCTGGTACACGGCTTTAAGAAGTCCAACAGCCATTTCTTTTCTCTTCTGGACCCTTCCCTTCAGACGTGGAAGTAACCTGAGTTGGGTAAGAGGATATGAGAAATTATGCTTTCCTTGCATGAACTGTCAGGCCAGACTTTTTAGGTTTTTCTTTCCTCCTGCTGCAATCCTTCCTTCAACAGAGAGAGAACGGAGCCCTACAAAGTATCATGCAGTTTAATCCATGCCTAACATTTCCCAATTTGTTTTTTAAAAGTACGTTTTCATGTTGTATAAATACTCTGAGAAATGCGATCATTTACATAAAGGTACACAACTAACAGATAATAGCCTTAAGATCAAACAAAGGTCTGACTGATTCTAGTCTTTCTTTACAATAGATCAGTGATTCCCGACCTTAGTGACACACTGGCATCATTTGGCTAATTTGAAAAGATCCTGGGTGTCACAATCTGACTCAGTCCCATCACATGCCCAGTTTGAGATACTACAGTGGTAGCCATCCTCTTAACATACACTATATTTAAAAACTCATGGAAATAAAGAATCTCAAACATATCCCCCCCCCATCTGAAACAGTATCACACCAATGATCTCCACAGTATGGTTGCAAAGAGGTCCCAGGTGCCAGCACAACGGGGGACAGGGAATACCGGCCCACTCACGCTCACCCTCTATGCGACCAAACCACTGGTGACAGCCTCATACTGCAAGGTACAAACCCCTATCTCGGCCGGAGAACCACAGAGGGATTGGGTATGGGTGGCCAGAAGCTCCTCAACCCAGCGCTCACCACCAAATCCGAACCGTGGGAAGAACCCGCTCCCTCCCCAGAGGCTCAGCGAATCTTCACCACTCAGGCCTCAGCCGCTGCCCTGAGTTAGGTGAAAACCAGCTTTAAGGGGCCCCGGAAAGATGAGCTCTGACTGCCTCCACCCCCGGCGGACACAAAGGGGCTGGTCTCCCTGCTCACGCAGGGGTCGCTGGGAAATGTAGTCCTGGCAGAAAAGGCTGCGTCCCTACAGCGTCCCAAAGCGCAGGCGCAGCTCCTCTCCTTGCCCTATCCTATAGAAGCCTTTTCTCATCAGGTACTCTCATTCTGGCTTCCCGTTGGATTTCCAAAGCAAGGCTCTGAAGTTCTGATTCCTTTCGACTCTAACTGGGAGGGCCATGGAATGGGGCGGGATGTTACACTAAATGGTCTGGAATTGAAATGTACAGCCGCAAGTGCTCAGCCACCTCCCTCTACATCCTGCGCGGAGAACTTAGAGCCACAGGTTTAGCTGCGCGGTAGAAAGTTGTGTCTGGATCAAAGTGGTGAGTTCCTAGAATTAGGGAATTCGTGGAAAAAAAAATGGGGCGCAAGGAGGAAGAGTGCGCATGCGCATTGTGCCTCTTTCAGATTCCACTTCCCCGCCTCAGGTGATTTTCCCTGGAGGGTGGCTACCTTAAAAGCCCGAGGGGCAAATAGAGAACCAAGAGTCATCCTTGGCGCCTGGTTTCACCATTTGAATTTGATGATGTTGGATATGAAAGCCTCTTCTCAAAGGTGGAACTCACAGGTTCCGTCAAGAGTCCCTTTCTCCATGCATTCATATAACAGAGTCACATCTACAAAGAAGTCCCTCTTCATCAGACACTCTTTTCTGGGATTACGCAAGTCCTTAATTACTTCCTTAGAACACATAGCTTTATACTTATTTATTGCTGTGTCACA